TTAAGTTCCGTATCAGTTACAAAATATTATTACTTGCCTATAAGACCCTTAAAGGGTTAGTTCACCCAAAAATGAAAATTAGCCCATAAATTACTCACCCTCAAGTCATCCTAGGTGTATATGACTTTCTTCTTTCAGACGAATCCAGTCGGAGTTATATTAAAAATTGTCTTTGATCTTTCAAGCTGTTTCATGGCACTCAATCGTCCATAAAATGCATTGCTGTTCTGTTGTAAGTAATCTTAAAGATTCCTAAATGCATCTACTTTCGGAAGGCCAAATAAAGTGCTTTTGCTTTCTCCTAGAAACACACAGCGTCTCCCTGACATGCTGCTTCAACACTAACTGCGGTTACTGAAACCCCGCCTTCTTTCTTTGCGTGCACATTTGGGCGGCATTATGCTAATATTTCCACATAGTGAGGTAGATATGTGGGGGCGTGTTAGAACGAGCCGTTTTAGGGGGGCGTGGCAGAGTCTTAACTTTGATAAAGAATATCTCTTTGGTTTTGAGACTTCAGTCTTTGCAACTTCAGGGATCTTATCTATGCACAATCAGCTTATAGCACTCGAAAGAGAAAGGAAAACTTGAAATCGCATCATATGACCCCTTTAACCTTTGTGCTGGACTGATAATCCTTTACTTAATTCGGTGTTCCTATAGCCAAATATCACTGAAATAAATTTTCAATTAGCACAGGTTTTGTATTTCTTTTTGGAACTGACTGTAGGCATAATTGATCTGAGTTCATGTGTCTCAGTTTTTGAGTGAAAAAAGCATTATTTGTGGATAATTTTGGCAATATTCACTCAAAAACTGAGACACATAAGCTCAGATCAATGAGGCCTACGATCAATCAGTTCCAAAAAGAAATACAAAACCTGTGCTAATTGAAAGAAAACAAGCTGATATGAAGATTGAATCCAAAAAGATTGAAAAACTATCAAATATTTTTTGGGAAGTTGAATACCATGTATGAGCAAAGTCAGTAAGTTTTAGTCTAACGCGATAACATAAATTAGCAATTTTGGGAAAAAGAATCTCCAGGTCAAAATGACTGCACAACATGCACTAATTCAATAGACGTTTTCTCAGATCGTAAAACCAATTTTGGAGCCTCATCTTCTCATCTTCCACTTGCCTGGCTAGGATAATTATGCAAATAACTTATTTAACTTACTTTATAGA